CTTGTTCACGCTACAGGCAGTTTCAGGCATCGTGTATCATACATGCACTGAGCTCTCATTTGAGTGTAAAGAAAAATGTCCTAATGGGCAAAAGGTAAAAACTGTCACTTCACCAAAACTGGACCGTTCCAGAAAGTGTAGGAATATTTGTACCATTCCTTTTAAATTATTTGCAATAATTAGAAAAATTAATGATTCTTATGGGACAAGTTTATATCTTTTATACCTTGTTTTGTCCTTTTGCCTACAAATACCCTTTGGACCAACAGGCCTCTATGCTGTACAGGAAATCTTTACTGGGTCACGGCTGTTAACATATCTTTTATCCAATGCAGTGCATAGTACAGAAATTATTAATCCACTGTAAGGCCATTGATATGAAGGCAGCTTGTAGTCCTCCATTCCTCACTGCACTGGTAAACAGTGCCATGACCTTCTATCACTGAAAGATGATTAAAAAAAAAAAGTAATTTCAAACTTAGCTCCTTTGTTAGTCAACTACTTACATTTTTTTTTTTTAATGACTGTGACTACTTTTATGTCAAAACTAAGTTACCGTACAGAAGTTTTAGCAATAATATCAACAATTTTGAGCTATGACCATTATGGAAGAACATTCTGAATTCTTTTCTAGTTAAAGGATTTTCAACAAGAAGAACAGCTAATACTGTTGACATATTTGTTAATATTGAGGAATTTATTGATCTCTGTCTTTTAGAGACTGCAGGTTAAGCTTTAGTTTTTCAAAATCTTGGAAATAATCCCCTTCGTACATCAGGGTTTTTTTCAGAACCTAGAACAAGGAGTGCATTCTTCCGCTGTACTGGTTTTATATCTTTAATTAGGTTTGGTCAGTATGGATCAAAATGAAACTGCAAACTCTTTTCTTAAATCACCAAAATTACTTTCAACTTTTGCAGAAGAAGAACTTGTCTGTGAACCAATTGGTGATCGTACAATAAAGTAGAACTTAGGCCTTGTCCTTTAGCTAAATGTGATATACGTTCTGGGGAGTACATAAAGGTCATGTTTCTTTCAAGCTTTTGCTTAGGAAACTAGTACCTTAATAGCAACTCACATCCCTTGAAACAACTTTAATTAAGCCCCTATAATAGGAAATTATTATCTGTATTCAGAGTATTACACATAATACACCCCATAAGTATAATGCCAATTAATGATACACAACTTAAGAAACTTCCTGCAAAAGCTTATCTATTAACAATAAAGTGCCTCATAACTTGAAGACATCGCAGAGAAAGAACACCCAAACGCATTTTCACCTTACTCAGCTTCTACAGATCTTGAATTTTTTTTGCTCTAGTCTCTTAAGAAAGCAATATTTTGAATCAATTTATACCCATATTCCTCACTTCATTCTGAGTGTGATCTGTGACTCAATCCTGCACAGTGCCAAGAGACTTTATGCAAAATACTGAGTGCCATTTTGAAGAAAAGGGTTTGAGGAGGTTTGGCATCTCTCAGGATCAAGCAATTTAATCCAACACCAAATGTCTGCTTTTTTAAATAACAATATACAACTTAAGGATGAAAGCATCACTTCATTTCTGAACCATGTTATGAGTGTAAAATATATATTTTATTTTCTTTGCAAGATAATGGGTGAAAATTCATTGTCAAACGGAATTTCCCTGAAGGTCATCAATGCTTGAGGAGCTCAGAAGTGTTCTCCTACTAGGAAATAAAATTTACTCTCCTACCGGCTATGTGAAACTAGTTGTTCCTTTGTGATATGATAGTGAAATGTGATTATATTTTTTTAACTAATGGGAAAAGGGATACAATTTATGGAAAAACTTTAGTAGTTATAATTTATTTGGAAAAAAAAAAAAGCATTGCATTTTCCTCATATAACTTTGGCACCATATGAAAAATAACACTAAGTTATTAAGACAGAGGAAAGATCTTTTGAAGTCTAAATGGTTGATCGTGTTGGGTGAGCTGGGCATGGGGGCTTTAGAATTTAATCTCAGTCCTATTTGAATTTGTGGAGGAAGTTTCTTGACTCCACAGGGTTTTTTAAAGTTAAACCCATCAATTTGGGGGATTGAATCTTGTGTATATCAGTGTAAATATTAGGAGATCTTTATCAAGGTCTTTGCAGGTATGTTGAACTACAAGATTAAATGAATGTGTGGATGATCCTGAACATTGTATTTAATCTTTTAAAATCCATATGAGAAACAATGTTCAGAGTGTCTTCGTTTATTACAAGATATGAGAAACAGGCTTTATTCCCTCTATGGGATTTATCTGTGTATCAACAGCTCCCAATGTATAACATCTAACTTACTTTTGAGTTTTAATATTTGGCAGCTGTGATGAGTGCTTCATCACAGTAACAGTCTGTGGGACTGGAGTGTGCAGCAGTATTTGCTGACTCATTATTTCTAGTATTAGCTTTACCAGTTAACCGTTCCTTGATGCTAATTGATCTCTTGCATCCAAAGCACGGATTTCAGTGTTATCCACGCCACAATACCTATTAGTTTTTCCCCAAATATTTGTTTCCACTTTGTGATTTTGTAAGTTTATTTTTTATTCCATCTTAGGGATTTGTCCCCTGCTATGTAAAAGTACTCTTTGACCTTAAGGATAGCTTCTCAAATTCCTATTGTAATTTGTTCTACTTGGAGAGTTGCCGACTAAGTGGTCTATTAGGCCAGATTTGCTCTAGTCATTTCATCCCTCTTTTATGCTGTAACTGCACTTGTGTCTCGCATATCTTAGATAAGGGCTTTGGGCAAGGAAGCACCCCCATTTCTCTGCAGATCAGAAGCTGGACCTGTCCAGAGTACTGATACTGCCAAAAATAAAGTTTCACCAGAACTTCAAAGTATGGGGATTGTCGAACAGAAGGTGAACAAATACCTCCAACAATATAGATGCTATTATGCCATTTTACTTTTCCTGTCCTCTGATTTTAGTTCAGTTAAGCTTCACCCAAGCAGAACTTTTCAAGTCCCCTATCAAGCACGCTCCAAGAAAGTACATTTGCTGCTCTGCATCTGTTGAAAGTAAAGCATGGAAATATATACTGCCAGTCTGTTGCTGTCTCCATTTCTTCCAGAAGCCTGTGGAATAGTAAGAGGACCAAGTAGAACCCCATTTTATTCAAAGTGAGAGATAAATTATTGTAGGCTTTGCCTTAAAAACAAAACAAACAAAAAACCCCAACAACAAAAAACCAACCAAAAACAAACAAACAAAAGACCCCCAGTGAATACAGAGTCTGACCAAAGATCCATCTAGCCGAGCATCCTGCTCCTCCTGACGGTGGCCAAAAGCAGATACCTAGGAAATTGTCAGAAAAGAGTAAGCATAGCATAAGATGATATTTCCTTAGGATATTCTCCTAGCCTAGCCTTCTAATAGTTTGTAATTCAGAGATTGCTTAAACCAGAATTGGTGTCTTTTTTTTGTAGCACCAATTAATGTATTTCACTTCTTTTAAACCATTTGGAGTTCTAATTTGAGTTCTGTTGGCTTGTGTTGATTCATATTGAAGATATTAGCAGTGGAGGTATTGGAGTAGAGGGATATGTCTGTCCCTGAACTGCTTACAGTCTGGCATATTAGCATAATCCAGCATTGATTTTAGTTTATATCAGTATGCCAGGCTGTAAATCGTGACAGCTGATGTCTCCGATTCATAATTCCTTTTGGATTTAGCTGCAGCTGTGGAACTGTAACATTTATATCCAACAGGAACCATCGGCCGGAGTCTTCGCTTAAATAAATATGGAATTTGTCAACTCTACTAGTGGCGAGGGGTTGTAATCTTCAAGTCAGCAGAGGAGTATTTGGGACAAAGTATTGACCCTTCGGAAGGAAGTGAAAATTCTGTCACTAATTTCAGTTAAATCTCTTTTCACCCAATAATTGTGATTGTATATAAATTAAATGAGGGCTTTCAAATGAGAAACTGTTTGCTGTGACGTGTACTTTTTTTGTACGTAGAGACAGATAGAAATATAAGAACAACTGAAAAGGGTATTTGAGACAGTGCCAAACAGAAGGAGCATGGAGGGGAAAATGTTTGGTCTTGAAAAATACGGTATCCCAGTTTCTCTGAGAATCTCAAAGTATCTCTGAATTAGATCTGACAAGGTATATAGCAATCTTCCAACATCCACTGTGGAAAAATGCAGGAGGATAATACCTGTATTACCTATTCTGAAGAGTCAGGGAGGATGAGGCATATTGTTACTGGATCAGTATGTATTCTTTTAAATCCTATTGGCGTGTTAGCCTTTTATTCTTTGAAGTGGCTCCAAGTTGTTCTTTGTTGTTGTTTCCAAGTTGTATGTGAGATCTAATATGGGGTTTAAATGTGGGCTTAATGGAAAAGCTTAAACCAGGCAAGAGAAAATAACGATGGTCACCGTGGAATTATCTTAAAATGTGACAAGTTCTGTTTTTCACGTCCACATGGACTCATATGAGAAGATGTGATTATGTATTTAGTTAGATACTTTTTGTATCAAAATTCTGACAACAATGATGTCCTGTACAATGTTGGGCTCCATCTCAACTACCAGATATACAAGTCCTTTTGATGGAAAGCTACTGTTATAACTTCTAAATCTATGGTAAAATTTTTAGGAGGTATTAAGCAATCTTTCAGCTACTCTTTGCTTTGGGTGAATGCCAGGAGAAAAAGTGAGCCACACGAAGAACATTCTTGTTAATTCTTCGTAAGAACTAGAACACTTACCTTCTTTAGCTGATAACTGCTAATTTTGATTTTAACTGTAAATACAGATATTATAAGCAGTTCTTAAGGATGCAAACTTGTAAGCCCCAAGTTTTTATTTTCTTCTTTGCCTTTTCCTCTCCTACAGTGGTGGCCGTGGGCTGTATGGAATTGATAGCATGCCAGACCTGCGTAGAAAGAAATCTTTTCCCATTGTTCGAGATGTGGTAAGTAACTTCTGATGCCATGAAACTGTTGATTCATTTGTCAGTTGGGTAGATCTTTCTTGTAATTATTATTGTGCATGTGAATGATAGTTTGTCAACATTTTTTTAAATGGAAAAAAGGTATCTTGAGAGAATGGACTGAGGCCAGTAAAAGTCAATGGTGCAATTGTTATAATGTACTAGATAAGTCTGAATATCTCATCGAATATTAGATATTACTTGTGGAATCAAGTAATGTGCATTTCGTGTAATAATAAACTACTCATTTGCATGTTGAATTAGCTTATGAAGACAGCTGTTATTGAGTGCTTGGGATACCAATCGACTTGATTTATTATGATACTGAAAGAGGAAGAAAGTTCCTTTTAAAAAGCAACCTTGTTTCCGTATGAATCTTTAAAAGATTTATGCATACTTTTGGTACAAGATGAGGTATGTTATTTTAGCAGTCATTGTAGACAATAATAATCTAGATAAATAAATTTCACAAAGGTGAAAAGAATGGCAGTTCCTTTGAGACTTATTCTGACTTCCAGTCTAAACAAGATTAAGTAGAATCTCTCTGCTCTGAAGAGTTTTAAGTGCCATTCACATTTCTGTTTTTCTTTTCCTGAAGTATAGAATTCATAATTCAATAAAACATATATTTAGTCTCTGGTGGCGGTGAGCCCCCAAAGCAATTTCTCATTGTAAAGAAAGGGAGTCAGCCAAAGTAAATGATTACTATAGTTGTCTTTAAAAGATCAGTCTTTGCCAAATTATTGCTCAATGTATTCTTAGCTACTCTATTCAGTTACTCTACAGTGATATACCGTACTATCTGAAGGGTCACAAAGAGAAAGCACAGCAACCATTTTAGAGTAGAATTCCTTCTGAAACCAATGAAAAGTTGCAATTTATGATATAGTAGGGCCTGCATTCATTGAAACCATCTTTTTGACTGTAGCCACTCCACTGTAAGTTGTATTACGCATGAGTATAATTTACAGCCACTTTATGATAATTTTATGCATATAAAATAGCACTTTGCTTTATTCTTAATTGTTGGAACTTTTTACAGACAGGTATTGCTCAGAACGAGTTAAGACATTAGAATCTTAATATTTATTAACTATTCACTTTGAAAATCATAATAATTATCAAAGTGAAACAAAAAAGAAAATACATGTTTTGGATGGTGGAATAAAATTTCATTTTATTATTCTAATGTCAATGATTACTATGTAATGATTACTACTTTGCTGTCTAGTTATTGAAGGATAACTCCTCTTGAAGGAATTCTGCCTTTAATAAGTGGAAGTTGCAGAGTTTTAAAACGGAAATTTATTCTAGAATTTAATCATTGTGGACTTACAGTATAGCTCTTAACGATATGTTCTTTAATGATATACTTCTTTAAAATAGTAAATTATATTACAATTCAGTTCTGCAGCTGTAAACCTAAACCAATTTTACCAATTTAAGAGGAACTTATTTCAGACTTAGTATAGGTCATCTTCATCTTTGAAAGATTATTTGTATTTGAAGGTACGTGCATTTTAAGCAATCTTCTGTGAGCTCTGGGCTTGTAATAGGTTGATTCAAAAATACCTCATTTAAATCAGTAACTTAATTCTCAAGTCCCTGTAAGATCTGATACATTGTGAATGATCTTTTTATGTTTATTTATATGACGGTTTCATAAATATAGAAGTAATATTGCTAGAAATGAGTGCTAGACTCTTTTGACACTGACCGAAATAGATATCATTTGGTATCTTTTTTTTTGTTGCAATAAATCTGAAAAATTATTAATATTTTTTATAATTTCTTTCCTATCTCGGCTGGATTTTTCAGGCTATGGTAAGTGCTTTTATACTGATAAATGTTCTAAAATGTCCATAATAACTCTTAGGGATTTCATGAATGTCATATTTTATGCTGACCTTTTATTGGAAAATAGAAAAACTATTTTATGACCAAGAATTTAATCCTAAGTGAAGTTGTGTCTTATGTGAACGTCTTATCCTCTTCATCATGTATGCCAAAATTATTAGAAAAAGTTTATGTTAAAAGGTATCTATGTATTCCAAATATCCTTTGTAATGGTACAAGCAGATTGTTTAGGACCCAGTCGTGATGCTTCCCCTGTGGAACTGAACAGCCTTAGGTACCCAGATAAAGAGAAGTTGAAAGTGTTCCCTACTTTTAAATCCTCTTGTATCAATCAACTAAATTCTTTGATCTCTCCTGTAAAAGGTGAATTTCCCAAAGCAAATAAAGACTTTTAGGTACTATGGTGTAATTTTTTCTAATAACTAAATTGATGACTCATGGAAAGATTTTCTTTTTCCACCAACTTTGGCACTTGTAAAGGTCCCTCCTTATTTTCCTAGTCCCTTTGCACTTCCAGTTTCTCTGCATTAGTTTTCATGCTTTCAGCATGGTATCTCAATATTAGGTTTATCAAAATGATGTACACCATCTTAAGGTGATATCTTTGACTCCCATTTGTTTCCATAAATTCACATTTTGAAAAATCCAGTTTTCAACAGCAGCTTTACTGGTTCTCTTTCTCCTAAATCTCTGAAAATAGTTTTTTCACTAATGCGTTGGGACTCTGCTTTCCCTGCTTGTTTTGGATTGAGTCATTACAGAGGATAAGGCAGTCAGAATCCATCTACAGGAACAGTTCTCTTTGCTGCACTCGTAAGTTTCACTGTGGGTCATTATTAGAGTTCTAGAGCAGATATATCTGTATAGGAGGGAAAGACAATGAAAGGAGAAGCGATCATTCAAGTGGAGTAACAATACAGAGAGCTGTTTGGATAACAATACAGAGAGCTTGAACAGACCTCTGTTTAATGTGGAGCCAGAAAAAGAGTCGAGTGCACTTCTGATGTAATTGCTGTAACTTCTACTTTTAAACAAACGCGTTCTCTCTTTTGTGCTAGTTAGAGCTTTTATTTGAGGTGGGACTACAACCAGGGAGAGAAATAGCAATAATTACAGTGGAGGTTAGAAGTACTTAACTCACGATGGCCAAACAGGTGTGGTGATCTGCCCAGTCATAGACAAAGGTAGCTAGCTCTACTTTTCTGTCTCGCTATGCTTTAGTCTTTGCTTCTGTTAATGCAAGTCGTCATTTCAAATGTTATGAAAACTCTAGAAAATCCTGGTTTCATTTGATTTAAAGGTGACTGTATACTGTACAATCTCTGTAATCAGGCAAATTTCTTCTTTTGATCGCTCAAGAATGTATTATTACTTAGCTTTGTCGTTTGATTATAAGAGCACAAGAGTAATTTGTGAATCCTTGCTGCTGTTGTAAACCAGACTGCTTGGTTCATACTGTTGAAGCGAACACACCAGATGAAACAATTGCCCATTTCAGCTAAAACAATAATCCACCGATACTTCTTTTTATGTAAGTGTCTCCACAACAAAAGCATTTATAGAGGCTAGAGCTCGATTATGGTAGTTTAAACTCTTAAGATTGAAGACATTCATATAAATTGCAGCTGCCACATTCTCAGTTTTTGTACATTGTCAGAGTAATCATTAGATAAAAGCTAAATATCTGGTCTATTTTACATTAACTCTGCTGTTTGCAGTCCATTTTATTAACTCCTTTAATCATTAATAGACAAATTGGATTAAATATTTTAATATTTATACATTAAATAGATAAACTGTAAAAATAATCAAACGGTATTTGTATATTTGTGGGTTTTTAAAAATTCTACTAAATGGAAATCATAATAATATGATTACATTCCTTTATTTCACACCTGTGTGTTCCAGGAATTAAGAATTAGTTGTGGGGAAATTAAGAAATTATTGATTAACTTGTTTGGTTTTGTTGTTTTCTATGCCATTTCTGACTAACCTTAATATTCAGAATGATCTTAGAGGCTAGACGGGGCATGCTCCTGTGTCTGTGCTATGAAAACAAATATGAAGAAAAAGTAAATGATATTACAGTGGTGTCCAGTAATGATTGTGTAGTTAAGTTGAGTTGCCATTTCCTTTCTAAATCTGTTTTCCGGGCTTAATACTGCAGTTCTGTTGAACATTTCAGGATCAGACATCAACTTTTTTAATAGAAAAATTATGGGAAGGGGGTAAGTAATTTCAGACAACAGCTTGTTTCCTTTCAAGTGATTTCTTCCTCCTTCCTGTCCCCCCGCCCCTGCCAGCAACAGAGTAGAAATCTGTCTTTCAAAATAAAGTTGAGATCCCTAGAGTGATAAATTACCTGTAGTTGCTCAAAAAGAAAGAGTTCTGAAATAGTGCAGCTTTTAAATGCTGAAAACTGTATTTTTTTTGCCAGATTCGCCTCTAGTGGGTAACTTCTACATTGCATTAAAAATATAACGGTATTTGTAAAGTGGTAACAAGTATTTTGTCTTCAACTTTTTTTTTTTTCCTGGCGATAGCAGTCTATAGATTTTTAAAGAAAAACATTGTGAAGGAAAATATGATCAGGAAAACAGAAACCCTCTGTAAAAACAGAGCAATGAGTATTGCATGGCACAGCCAGCATTCATGAACAGTCGCAAAACGTTAGCTTGACTGCTTCTTCCTCCCTGCTACTTTAGCTGCTCAAAACACAGCTTGCTTTTATTTCATCATGGCAGGTGGCTCTTTTTTCACCCACACAATTTTTCATTTAACATTTAATTGTAGCTTGAGTCTAATTCTCTTTTGCTTATGGTTACCACTTTTCAATGTTTTTGCTAGAATGACTTCTAATTATATTAATTTATTTATTTAAGCTGCTAAGGCAAATTTGGAGGCAATACATAAAATAGTGTAGATACAAGTTATTAGGGGGTCTAAAAGGACTTGAGCACAAAGGAGACTAAGCTATTTTAAATCCTGTATCAGGGATTTGGAAAAACATTTAAAAATTAAATAGACGATGTTCTGCTTTATCTTTTTTTTTTTAATAAATTTGTCCATATGTTCATGATGCAATAGTACCTACACAGAGATCTTTACACTCTGTGGTCAAATTCTCATATAAGGAAAGGCATGAGGTAGTATCTGAACGTCAGTTTGAGAGGGTAAGCAAGTGTAAACCGCTGAACAAGTCTTGTGTCCTGTTAAAGGAGGCTTCAGGTACTGAGGGGCTTCAGGTTCCTGTTGCTCACCCTGTTCTTTTGATGCTCTGGCAATTTGGACTTCCTTCCTGGAGGCTGCAGATGGTTAGCTGCACTTACCTTTCTTCCTTGCTACTATTTAAAAACAGAAGGGCAGTAGGGGAAAAATGTTCTTGCTACATTCATAACCTGTCACTTTGTTTCCCATAAATGAGTCTGGCAGCATTTTTCCCTTCCTCTTTCCAAAATACTCGTCCTTGCTTCATTCCATCCTTAAGAACAGACACTGTTCTGTGTTTGTTCAGTGCTTCAAGCTGTTGAATTATCACCAACTACAGTATTTCAGACCAGAAATGTTCTATTTATGGGCTTTCTCTTGAGGATACAGTTTATTCTGAGAGTAATACCTAAATGGAAATAATACTTGCGAGTTTTTTCACTAAAATCCCTGTTAATTTAATCTATAATGACTGTTAACTTTACTGGTTTAATCACAAATCCCGCTAAATATCACTTTCTTCTATTATTCTTCCAACATGACAAACACTTTATTAAGAACAGTTTAATTATCTGTTTCCTATTAGGCTTTGTTATTTTATATAGGACACTGTACTGTGATTTTAGACACATTTCTAATGTGTCTAAAGTGGTTAAGCTACATGATTTCAGGAGTAGCCACTGGGAGAATTGGGCCTAAAGGACATGTGACAGGGTCAAAATTGCTTCCCTACTTGTCGCGGAGGCTCACGTAATCAAATTAGGCAGGTGATAGATTCAGAAATAAACTTTATTTTAACCAAAATTGTTTAGCAGAAAGCTGACTAGAAATGAGGCGCCAACACTCCCACAACATCAGTAAAGCACAGGCTCAGGATGGCGTCCGAGGGATTAACGCTGCACAGCCGGCTTTACGAGTGCGGATCCAAACTGTGCACAGTCACTCACCTGGAAGATGAGGGCTCTCCACCGCGAGGAGTTTCCTTGGGCGGCGTCCCGAGCCCAGGGGAGAGTCCCCGACTGCACACCCGCTGCTCCGAGGAGGAGGACCGGCTCCCCTTGCCCTCCGGCGGGGCTCCATTTCTACCCTAGTCCAAGCTCGTCTGGGGTCAATTCGAATTGCCTGAGGGCCTTGACTTCCTTACGCCTCGCCCGAGGTGTATACGTGACCATAACCACTGGCCCAAGGTGTGGACATGACGGTCAGCACTCGCCACCTTAAAGGCATGAAAGTAAGGGCGCAAAAAGTGAGGATGCAGGGGTCTTAATGCCCCCGGTCTTTGTCACGGCGGGGGGGCCGGCCACACTACTTTCCTTTTTCTCACAGGAAATAGTATCTGTTTATTGATTTGTACTGATAGCATGAAACTGCAGTTCTCCTGCTGGCTCATGTGCTTTGACTGATATATTGCTGGAGGACAGAACGCAGTATCACTCACTACCCTATATGCAAGGTTAATGTTGTTATGCCCTTTGTATTCCTGCCCTGACAAGTAGTCCACATTGCTTTATAGCCTGGAATGGCTAGGATTGTGTATTTTAGACCTAAAAGGACCAAATCACTTTCTAACTATAAGGGACATGAAGATTAGAGGTCCAAACTACAGAACTAATATACTGCGGGCAAGTAAATGTAAATGGCTACTTTCCAGGACTTTGAGAAGAAACCTACGCTTCAAGAGGGAGCAGAAGATGGGTGCAATTAGAATGAATGCTTTTAAACCTAAAACTCTACTGATTATGAAAATTGTTTCTTTTCTTCTTAATGTTCCCAACACATTTTTGCTTGCCATTTCTCACTTTGATGTGTGGGTCCTGTAGCATTAGGTTTTGTCACAGAAAATTTGAAAAAGCAAAGCCTGGGTTCTGTTTAATCTTTCCTGTCATTTTGTCAATCTCACTGGCACACACCAATGGAATTTCCCATATTCACAGAAATGGAAGGAAAAGATGGTCACAGAGAAGCAAAGAGATTTACTTATTAATAAGGGAGTGGGAAAACTGATAGCAAATTAATGGCATAGGCTTGGTAAACTGCTGAGAGTTTAAACGAAAAAAAGAAGGGGGGGGTTCTTTGCATCCCATATTAACTCTAATAGGACAGTGATGAATCAAATCAAATATCTGTGCCAAGGATGACTTCTTACCCTATAATTGGTTTCACAAGATTAATAATTTTGTGTCTATCTGCAAGTTTAATTATTATCAAGGGAAACTTATTGAAAATTGAATGGGTATGTTCTCAGGGGAAAGTAAACATGTAAAATTAAAATTAACAGTCTTAATGTCTCTACATAAAAAAAAAAATCCATTTAAATTATGTCAGTGTTTAAAGTTATAAAATGGGAAGAAATTGGAATTGTCTCTCCATCCAAAGATTAATGATGCAGTTCCTCTGCTGATGTAAGCCTAAATTGCTTCTGACCTAATACGTACTTCACAAAAATAGGAATGTCATATGTAAAATATCATTGAAACTTTTGCTGTAATAGCTTTGTAATGGTGGACTACAGAAGACCCAGTTCACAGTAAGGTGAAAGTCTGTATCCTCACAACAAAGGCAACAACAGACTTATGGTTAGTGGGTGGTATAATTGATCATCCTCACACTGCTAGACTATGAGGGCAGCGAGGTATGACAAAGCAGATGCTGGATTATGGAAGAACAGAGATAAAGCACAAGTATACAGGCACACATGGAATGATTTAGAATAGGGGGAAGGATGCATGAGCCTAATTTTGCAGGTAAAATACAGTAATATAGCAGTGTTATGGTTAATATTTTGTACAGTGGAATAAATCTTACATGTTTCTGTCAGGCCAGAAGGACTACTGATAGCAGAAGTGATATTCAGAGTTGAAATATTATTTGGAAAACACACAGAACTCGTTTCTCCAGGGTCTTTTTCCTTCTGATCATTATAGTCTATAATTAATTCTCAAGGACCCATTTAAATTACAGGGATATTGCAGTATGGAAGATAAAATTTCCTTGTTTATTGTATATTAAAAATACTTTATTTTGAGTGCCTTTGTATGGTACTATATTAGAGCAAATGAGATTTGTCTCTACAACCAAGGATGTAGTCTTTGGAACTGGGAGGTGTTCATATACCTTTAACATCATGTGGGCAGAAGAGGACAGATTGAGACAGAGTTCCAGCCTTATTTCTCCCTCCACGAACCAGAGTATTTCTCCCTCCACGAACCAGAGTATTTCTCCCTCCACGAACCAGAGTATTTCTCCCTCCACGAACCAGAGTATTTCTCCCTCCACGAACCAGAGTATTTCTCCCTCCACGAACCAGAGTATTTCTCCCTCCACGAACCAGAGTATTTGAATGAATATTGTCTTTAAGGAAACTCCATATAGCTATTCATAGTATTGAATGAATATTGTCTTTAAGGAAAAAATTACTTTTAGGTTTCCCAAAGACTTTTTATTTAAGACAAGTAGCATTTTATATACATACACACAGTTTTTAAATGCTCAGTAAGTTGCGAAAAATTATCTGGACTGACAACTTGAATTGTAAGACTATTGCAGAATGATCTCCCATGTTGCTGCAGGCACAGACAGCTTCCAAATTAGGGCAGGATGCCTTATCCTTGTAGTACATTAATTTGGTTGGCAAAGCAGAAAAACAGTGACAGCCTGTGGTTTAAAAAAACTGAGTCATAAACCTCTGAATAACAGGGTTTATATTAGAAATGGCAGCTCAGCTGGGCACTGCTGAAAGAAATGGTAATGGTGATGGAAAGTGTGCTTGCATTATGTACTTGAAACCTTAAAAGTTGTGTGCTGCAAACATTAACTAAAAGTTTGTGTAACTCTTACAGTTTTGCTTAAGTCCAATAGCATAATCAATTACTTCTTGCCTTCCGTTAGATTCAACAGTTGGAGTTACTAGTATAATTTTTAACAGTTTTGCATTTCCTTTAAACAGACACTTGCAGCTCGAAAATCTGGTATTTCCATGGCCATGCTCATTCGGACCTCCATAAACAATGATGAAATGGTAAGTGTTTTCAATGGCAGGTTTAAGTCATTTAAATAATAGAGAAATTTTTGTTCAAAGTTCTTTAGAAATCATTTCAGCCTTAGACACTCCAAACTGGATAAAACTGAGTGCACAAGCATTCCGTTTATTGTGTAGGAACTTTCAGGGATCTTGAGCAGAATTTGCTGCCTGATCCACAGTGACAAGACCAGGTTTGCTTCTGCTGACTCACATCCATGATGGTCAGAAGATACTAAGCAAGAAACCTTTGTTTTACAAAATAGTTACTTGGGGAAATCTCTTATTTTAAATTGTCCAGCTGCACCATGCTTTACCTGCAGCATTTCAGCGTCTGTCTCTCTTCGTCACACCATGACTACAATTAGAAAGACAGGACTCTGCAAGAAGGTTTCTGTGTGATTATTATTTTTTTTTTCCCAGTCCTTATAGGTGGCTGGGACATTATTTGATTTTGTAAATGTAACTCCTGATGATAACACATGTGATTCTAGATGAAGAAATATTTAATTTGTACAAGACGTGACCAGGAAAATCTTTTGAAAAATCATATTCTCATAGCTAGTAAAACCCGTGTGTTGTGGTTTTCCATTATTGACTTCACTTACATTTTGCAACAGAAATTTATTTTAGACAAAAACACAACAGGTGCCATTTTCTTCAGGAATACTTAGAAGTGTGATGCAAGCAGATTTACATGGCTGAACTAAGCAAAAGGACTAATTTGAAGGAATAAAGGCCCCTTTTGAGTTCCTTGAATTGCTAGTGCAAACGTAGTCTTCTAGAATAGATCCTACATTGAAAAAAAAAAAAGAAGTGTTGAATTTTTCTTACACTGCTGTTAAGCTCCATAGTAGAAGAATGGAAGAGCAGAATATATTGACAGATACTGTGGGAACTGAAACCCATAGCACAAGTACACACACATCCATCAGTCTTCTCTGATTTATTGTGAACTTTCTATGCTTATATGGTAATCATAAAGGAACAATTTGGTGGTCCTCAGGGATGGATTGATGAGGTAGGAAACAGCTGGTGTTTGAAATGATCTTTCAGTAGAGGCAGTAGTTATTTTGTTCTGCTATCTCAAAATAGCAACGAAGGTTGATAGAATGAAGGAGAACTATGGAATCTTAAAAAGAAGTTAAAGGCTGAGGGAAAATTATAGAGAACAAACTTATGCCATGCAATTGGTGCAAAATAAAGACTTTCCATCTATGTTACAGCTGCTACAAAAATATCTAAGTTCAGTAAAAGACCCTAAGATACTCCATATGCTTTACTAAAAGATGTCTATTAAACAAACAAATAAAACCATTTATAAGTATTACTACCTTTTATGACAATAAATACAGGTTCAACTATTCATTTACATGCCTCCCCTCATGCAAAAACTACCAGACTGTGATTTTGGAGGGCTAAAGTTGCAAGTTTTGGAGATAATATTAATTGCCAACAAATGCAGAACAAGAAAAAATAATTTAGACTACACGTATAGATTCTGACTTAAGCGGTACTGTTCAGGAGGAAAAAAGAAGGCAGCAAATCCCAGTGGACAGCTCAACACAAATGTTTTTCCAATGCGTGCTGTCAATCAGGAGAAACTAATGAACTATGGTTCGGGAGAAATGGAAAGAGAAAAATAAGTTGAATGTATTTTTATGCCATGACACTCTTTGGCCTCCATTTGAACCAGGCCATATGGAAAATTGTGTACCAGAAATAAGCATTTCTTAAGAAATCTTTAAATAAAAACCTAAGTCCAAAGACAACAAATATAAATTAGATACATAAAAGTTCATTTGATGAGAAAATGTAAAAAGCTCATTCAGAGGAGAGGTGAATAAGAGAAGCCTGTCTTATGCCAGCCCTCACTAAACATACTAAAAGGAAGTGGGTGCTCTTTGGAGGATAAATGGAATGGTACAGCCAGTAAAACCACTTGCAAGATATTTAAAACAAATGAAAGGTAACACTTTACTTGGTCTGTAAGTAGCCAGCAGAACTTAGTGCCCTCAGGCATCATCAAAACTGAGTAGAGCAAGATTTGAAAATAAAAAGAACAGACATTTTTCGGGCATAAAAGAACTCTCCAGATATTCTCCGCAAAACCCGATGAAGAAGTGCAGTCACTGATGAGAGTTAAGAAGAAAATCCCCTTTGGGCAAGTTATTCCTCTGATTAAGGCTTTTCTGGTTTTTACTCTCCCTCAACTTTTTCTGGAGGGAATATTAGTGACTCTGATGGAAGCAGGTTATTTGGCTGATTAGATTCAGTATAGAAATTCTTTGAACTAATGCCTTGTATTAAAAATCAAATGCCACTTACTCCAAAAATTAAAACCTGAGGTTAAATTCTTTGAGCTTTGCCACCCGACATTGCTATCCTTCTAGTATAACACATTCATGACACGGTGAGTTTGTATGTTCCCAGGCACTGATCCAAAGACATTTTAAGCAGTGTCAAAGTGTTAACTTGTGACGCTTAAACATATGCTTTTGGTTGAGCATTCATTTAATTGCTTTGCTGAACAAAGAGACAGAGCTGCAAGTTTGTGAAAATAATAAGTCGATGACATTGAAAAAGTATCTCAAGTAGTATATGACAGAAATAAACTTCACTTCAGAGGATAAGCAGATAACTAAATAATCCTCCTATACGTTCTAAATAATCCTTCTATATATTAACAGTGCTAAATGTTGCCATGCCTAGAGCTCAGTGAATGCATATAATAGATACATTTAGACAGAGAAGAGTATTAGGAAGGAAAGCCTCTAGACAGTAAGATAAATAAAATTCTCCTTTACGATTGTAGTTTGCTTCATTAACGACAGGGCAAAGATAATGTTCAGCAGCAAAACCAATCTACAAATTGTGTCTTTCAGCTGAAAACTTCATTTACCCTCAGATGTTTATTTCAAGGCCCGTTGAGCTGTGCCATTTCATTACTTACTGCCATTTCAGAAACAGATAAAAGTTACTAGCAAAATTTTAAAATTATTTATACTGTGAAACAACAGTGAAGCTGAACAGGGTGAAAGGGCAGGATTTGTACTGATCCTACTAGAGTTCAGGAGTGTGTGAGTGTCGTCTGCAAAGGAATCTTCAAAGACCTGGTGGTTTCTGAGAAACACGATTCCTCAACAAGCTGCATAAATTCACTTTAGGTTGTTTTTGAAGTTTTCTTTCTGATCCCTGTAGCTGGTAAGCTGTTACATGGGAGGCAGAGGGTGGAGAAATGCACAAAGATTAAGTTTTGCCGAGTTAGGTGGCCATGACTAGCCCAGTCCCTCTTAGGGTCTGCCAAATCAAACCAGTGCAGACCTTTACTTGCTTTCAGGGGAGTTACTAGGTGGCTAATTGTCTAGGATAGGCTAAGAAAGCACCCTGGAGAGCAATTCAATATTTGTTTTAGTAATTCCTGCTATATCAGCTTCTTTTCTTAGTTCAGTTCTACAGTGTTCTCGGAGGTGCTAGGATCAAATGTTCATGAAATCTACGATGACATCTGTTTGGCCAGGCCTCGCAGGATAGATGTTGTTTTTAGCATGTAACTATGAACTTCAATAAGAGCTGTTGCAGCTGAAGCTACTTAACATTTGGTTTTGTTATTTGTAGTGCTTGAACCTATGAATCAGCAGATTTATGGCTACGTAGTAATGGTTTTCCCGTGGTAGCAAAAGTCCTTTAATTGGTGGGTCTAATTGTGCGCAACATTATGCAGATATGCACAGAAAAAATATTTTAATCAGACAATTTATTATTAGCAGAATATCTCACATGTTTGAGTGGAGATGCAGATATATAAAACCAAGAGCATGTCAGTGTGCTGCAACAGGCTAATACCTTGCATTTGGCATATACTTATCATAGCTGAATATTAAAACTATGGTAATGTTAACAAATGCTTAACTGAATAAGTTAGCCTTGCTTTCTATACTATCAGAACTGTGGCAGTGATGTTAAAGCTCATATGGACAAGCCACACAAATTCCAAAATGTTGTTCCCCAGTTTGCTACAGCTACACAGCCAGCATTACAGCTACTTCATTATATACATACAAGATGAAGAGATGGCAGGACAGACAGACTTTCAGAAATATCCCATTTCCCACTGTGCTGCTTCTTTTAATATGGTTTCTTCTTTCTAAAAGAAACAATTTATCCATTTATAAGGGAACAGGTCTAGAACTTCTAACACATTTATGGCAGCCATGTGCACATTTAGTGGAAAAAAAAATAAAGCAAGGTCATATTTTTGCATGGTGCCAAGTACTGCCTACAGGCTGCTGAGTTTTTCTTATTCCAAATGAATCAACTGGACATAGAAGATCTGGGTGCCTGAAAACAAAGCTAAAATAAACAAACTAGACCATTGTGGCCATATAAGCCTATGTTTTACATACAAAACTTCAGGGACTACTTTGTTTTCACCTTATTAAGCACTGAGCTGAGATTCAGGTTGTTTGCAGTACTAATCAGTGAATAGCTGATAATTGTTCTGCTAGAACTGATCATGGGTCCTAAGCCAAAACAGTCTAAGAAATGGGTGTGGATTTTTGAGAGTATGGATCATTCTTGTTTATAGGTATAAAGAATCTTGGTGCTTAAAAAGGAAGTAGTGAGTATGCTATTATAGGAATAGACAAAATGGAACCATAATATTGGCCTGCTTTTATTTGATGAGGAGATTATATAGATGCTAAGTATTAAAGGATAGCACTGCACATAATCAAAGTACATTTTGTGCAGTGTGTCTAAGTTCCTGTAGGAAGTATTTAAATATTCAGAAGTAATGTGTTAGGTAGTTACTTAAAATGCATCAGTGAATGTAAAACTAATGAATTTTTTAATTTCTGCCTCAAAATATAAAAAATATATAGGACCCTGTTAATTGACTGACCTGATTCCAACTTAACTCTCCTGTTTCTGTAATCAGTCAAAACAGTCATCGAGGGTTCTTTTGTCTTCAAAGTGCAAGGCAAAAGGAGTAAATCAGTACTTTGCAAATTAGTTCATACGTCTTTGTATATTCTGATATTTTGTAACATTGTAGGTGTAATGACGTATACTTTAGCTCCAGTCCACTTGTATTAAACAATACTTCAACTGAAGTCTTGATTTATTTTGTTTTTTCTTACCTAACAGAAAATACATGTCTTCAAGAAGACATTGCAGGCTTTGATCTATCCAATATCATCAACTACACCTCATAACTTTGAAGTTTGGACGGCTACAACTCCCACATACTGTTATGAATGTGAAGGTCTACTTTGGGGCATAGCCAGACAAGGCATGAGATGCACCGAATGTGGTGTCAAATGCCATGAGAAGTGCCAAGACCTCCTAAATGCTGACTGTTTGCAGAGTGAGTATTTCCTGACAGTTAAAGCTTTGCAGTACTTCACACCTTTTGATTTTGTGTGTACACCCAGATATTTCCTGAAATGAAGGGCCACATCATCAGAAATCAGTGAAGGCATGTTGATGTTCATTGGCTGAGGAGTTAGCCAGAAACTTTATGAAATACCTACTGTTAATTTTGCTTTTCTCCTTGGAACTTGCCGAATGTTGCTGGTCAGTTACAAAATAGCATTCGGTAGCGTCAGTATATTATTTACTTTCCACTGCCTATGGCAACACTCAGAGCAATTTGTTAGATGATGTAAACCCTCTTTGTTTTATTTAACTCAGAACACAAGAAATGTCAAAGCAAAGATAAAAAAAATATTCCTAATACTTATTGTAGTCATGTTAATATGCTATAGAATATACAAGAATATGAAATAGTAAATAGGATCTTGTCCCTTCAAAATACAAAACCATGTATATGTAAGGGAAAAAAAAACATTAGGAAGTCCTTTGGGACTAGAATTAAGGTGAAACAACCTTTTTCTTTGCTTTTTGATTGGCCAAATTGATTCCAGCTACCACGCGTTCTCCTACAAAAATATCTGAGGTGCATTTAAACCATACTTAAATTACAACCCAATTACTACACAAGATTCTAAACAATAGAAAAATCAAGACCTGCAAACTTTCTGATATTCTGATTTTGGAATGGAAGGGGCTTTTACAACTCTGGAGTTATTCCACATTGTTCACTGTTGATATGTTCCTGAGTGTTTACCTAGCTTCTACATGTAGGAAAAGTACATAGATATTCTAGTCAGGTCTTCTTTCTTATCTGTGTGAGAAGCGGTCGCAAGGGATGAATTCTCAAGATATGTATTGTTCAGGAACTAATCACAGTTTCCCAGAGCAACTGACCCCATGGAATGTAAATCAATGACAAATTTCTAAATCAAACTGCTTAACTGTGCTTAATTGTGATTCTGCACAATGGTTGAAACTGGGCTGTGTTTGACACCTAAGCTTTTGACATAGTTTCACAGGTGAGAAAAGAATGTTTGCTTTGAAAATCAAATATTGTAAAAGTATCTTGTGCAGCATTAATATGATTGTTGGTGCTGACTTTTCAAAAGTGTATAAAGTAACGAAGATACTCGTGAGTAGCTTCTTCAGTAAGTGCAAATAACTTCTATTACCTGGACAGTAACAAAAGAAGGTATGCTTTCATAATGTCAGTTCCTGTTCACTCTTATTGACTAATTGCCTCATTTCATTCTAGGTACATTTTAAGACTAGCTAAAAATAATTAATTGTACATCAGCCCATCGTTCCCTAGTTTGGCTTATATTACCTGGGCTTAGAGGCATGAAAATGAGTTAAAAGAATGATGAGCTTGTACTTCTGCTGGCAACAGGATATGTGCAAGTCGCTTGCCAACTAACTGCTCATTAAGCTGATGGAGGAAGTAGGAAGTAGAAATAGCTTTCCTAAATTAATCTCTCCCCTTATGCACAACTTGTTTAGCACTGTTTATGTACAGGAGGAAGAAAACATGGAGGAGGGGCACTGAATTGATTCTGATATTCTCAAAGTGCAATGTGGGATTCATCTTGTAGGAGGGCCTCAAAACAAATCTGTATGGATCGCAGTGGATCTGACTGAAGCTTACTCTCTGCACATTCTTCAAGGAATTGGGCTGTTGCTAGATTTGGAGCTACTTTGCTAGGACTCTCATCTGCTGCTCCCTGAAAATGCTGATTGTATTCTGTGGCAAAGAGATAACTATCAAGTGTTCTACACAGTGTTGTGGGAATTCCCCTGTCATAATTACATACATAATAGTCTAGAAATAAAGCATAGCTGAAACTTTTCCCATCAGAAGGGGATGTTTTCTTTCTGAGGATTTAACAGAATAGCATGTCATGTTGTAACGCATTGTTTCAGAAATATTTTTAATTTAAGAAAATCAAGATTGATTCACTCCATAAGTGAGACACATACAAGACATCTTGATGTAACAGTAGTGTAATGAAGTATTGCAAGGATCAAATGGTTATGAGCATCGTAACCATGCCTTTCTGTTTGGAGGAACCTTTCTGTTGCTGTTAGCTGGGTTCTTCTTGTCTCACCAAACATTTGTGAAAACCCTCCTCTATTCCACCAGGCTTCCCAACCTAGTTACTGCATGCCATTTAGTCCCTTTCTGAATTACATTAGAAGAGAGTTGGGAGTTTTTTTGTGTTGGAAGTTTGATATGGCAAGGGCATTTATGATCCAATGGATCATCTGTCCTGTAGTGCACTCTACTAAGTACAGCACAACACAGATCTATGATGTAGTCTAAAGAGATACCTCACATCCAGTTACCCCTGATTTTAAGAATATTTGCATCTGACCTTTAGGATTTGGATTAATTTTTATCAGAGAAAACAGCAGTTAAGTCTTTGTGCTCTCATTCCTGCAGAAGTTTGCAGAGTGAAAAATGAAAACTGGCGTATGTAAAGTATAGCATTTTAATCTATTTCTCCTATTTGAGAGAGTCACAGTTGAAACAGGAATTGTTGCTAATGCTATCTCTGCTGCGTTATAAAAGCATTGTGAGAAAAGCAAGATCCAAGATCATGTCCCTGACGATATCAGGGTTACGAGTTTCTCGCAATCCTCAGCTAGTCCATGGTTTCTCATTATAGAGAATGGTTAGGCAGATTGTTCTTTCTGAGGCTTCTTAAAAGTGATGAAATCTCTTGTCACTGTACACACTGGAAAACAACATTCAAGCCAGCTAGGCCTGGGTGTAATACCTTCGTATTTCTGTTTGCATGACCTCCAATCTGGTCACAGTTCACGTCCTTCTGAGCAAGAGTACAGGAACTGATTCCAAGTGTTTATGTTGCCATGCCCCATGGAGGGGCTGAGCTGTTATTACCACTCAAAATTAGTAATCCTTTCCCTGTGTGGTGAAACACCTTCACGTGATGTTTACATGCTGACCATGCTTCTTCCTGTTCCACCCTTCCCACTGTCAAGGAAATAAGCTGCTGCTAACTTTCCAAGCGCTGAGCTGCTTTTCAGGGTGCCACAGCCATGCAGGTGGCATGAGAGATCTATCCATCCCTGTAATAGTTGAATCTTGGCTAAAACTGAAAAGCTACAAGAGGCATACAAAGTAAAAGTATCCTTTTTTTTCTTCCTTTTCACTTCTCTGAAGAAAAAGTCAGCCCAGAGGTTCCCTGGCCCATACCACCAGCCCAAAAAACCATAACAAATGGTTCAGAGCATTTTGCCTTTGAAGAACTTTTACAAATATATCAATGATAAGGTTGAGAGGAGCCTGCAAAAAATAAGTAGGATTGGCAGTCATCTGTGGTGTAAACAGTTTGGAAACATTGAACAACTGAGTCTTGAAAGAGTAAACCTCTAGAAGGCAAACTGCAGATAAAAAAATATTTAACACACCTAAGGGATCCCAATCTTCCCATTAGCATGCAAATGTTTTTGAGCATCCTGTCATATTTTTTGCAACAGATTAATTGTTCGGTGGGTTTGAATATTATACTACTTTGAAAATGAGGTTCACGTACTTTGTTTTATTTATGCTGAAAATATTTAACGTTCCATTGAAAAACTGAACTAACCAGTGCAGCTGGCTAAATCTCTATTTCTAAGAAAGCTGATGCTAACAGTATCATAAAATAAAATAAATGTGCTTCACTGTGGTTATTTTTATCACAGTCATCCTTTTGGCCATCTCATAATCACTAGGACATATGGCCTCCAAGCTTCTGTGACTTTTTTTTTTTATATGTAATGATTGCTACATACACACAGCCGTAGTGGTTTTGATGTCTAGACTGTAGAAATGAATTAACATCTCAAGCTCTTTAAGGTCAATATCTAAGCTTGTTCTAAATTAGGTTTTAAAAAAATCAGTAGTACATTCATTAGAACTCTCATCTTCAACAAGATATCACTTGCTAGTAGTAGGTGCAATATTAAATCAGAATTGATTTCAATCATGTTGAGTTTGTATCAGTCCCTAGGGTAAAAAGAGCTTGTTAACTTCTTGTGCAATATCAGTTACGATATTGTCTTAATTAGTCTGATCAATACTGCATGAAAAGAGCTGTTGATAGACTGTCAGCAACAGAGGATGTAAATATAGCTGCAATAAATAATTTAGTATAAACAGAAAGCTATGCTGATTTTTTCACTAAAACTTGAAGTTGCATTTTAACGCATATTCCAAATTTATCTATACTGTCTCAAAAATCAGCAAGGTTTTCAACAGGAATACGTTATTGCCATTCAGATTGCGTCCATGGTTTAGCATTTGGTTATGATGTTGTATCTGTGCTTTTTAAGAAAGGGCAGAAAATAAGAGAAAATAAAAAATGTTGCTTTTCTGTATCTTGCAAGAACCACCTGTCATGCTTTCTAGACAGCTCAGCAATCATCTCTTTTGTGATAAAATCACTAGAGAATTCTTTAACTGGTATTTGGTTTCATGGTAGCATTTAATTCTTTTTCTACTAATTCCTAATTTTTCAGTGTGGAAAATCCTTAATCACTAAAACTTTGGTCTTCCACATTCAAAAAAATTAGGTACTCAGGCCAAGAGATTTTCAGGATTTGTCAAGATTTAGTAGCCATGGAAAACACCTTGAAGAAGCCATATAATTCAGCCTTTTGACAATCTGGAATTACTGGTATCTGGTATCTCATCCCACACTTTTCCAATCTTATGACACTATGCCTTCCTACTTTACTATATGTATCTCTCTCTTTTTTTTGTCCTCCAATGTGCTAAGAAACCTTCAGACACAATGAAAACAGTAAAGAAAACAAAGCATAAAATATTTGTTCTGTAAGACTTCACTGAGATCTTATGCTGAAAGATGACCCTTTCCAGCTCTATAGGTGTGTTGATAACTTATTCTTTAGCCATTACAAACTGAGAGTGCCTCAACAAAAAATGCCATCAAAAGAACATAATGGTGTTTGATGTAGAGAAGGAACTATGTTCCTCTTTGGTGTTGAAATAACTGAATTCTAATTGCATAGCAAGTTGTTCAACATAATTTTGTCTTAATTTTACTATCCATTTAAAGGGAACAATAATACTTTGATCCTCCCAGGAGTCGAGGATGGCTAGTTGGATGATACTTTCACAACCTTTTGGAAGGGTAAAGTACTTCCTGCTGCTAGTGATAATGATGATGACAATTGTCATGCTCAGTGCTATTAGCCCTTGAGTAGCGTTTAACAACATGAGCTAAAATTCAGCAATACCTGTAGCCAGTGGTAATGTGTCATTGAATATAAAATTTGTAGCATTCTTGCATCTTGCTTTATATGTCAGTCTCGTCAAGAGTTGAAATAGCCTGTTTAGTACTGCAGGAATTTCGATTTTTCATCCAACATTTGTAATACCATTCTGACCACACAAGTCTGATGTTTCTTTCCTCACACCCAACTGCAAGATGGACACTTGTTTTTTTTCAAGAGTACACTTAGGTTATTCCAGTACGGTATGTATTGTAGAGACATTGATCAGAAACACTTTCCTCTGGCAAACAAAGGACACTTTATAAGGAGAATTTCACTTTGGCTTTTTAAGGGCCTCTGAGATCAGTTATAACTTTTAGAAAGAGAAGTCTCTTCAGAGCTCTCCTGGGAAGAACTGTGAATAAAACCTGTAACAGCATGATCTCCTTATACTCTATTTTTTTTTTTTTTCTTTTCTCCCTTAACCAGTAAAAGCTGTAGTGGTTTTGATGTCTCAGGCAAATCAGCAAATCACCTGAGTATTTTCTTTGTTTTCCAGACTTATTTTATAGGATAGACCTGACATACCACTGCAGGTTAATACAGTCTAGAAGTTATTCTCACACACAGAATATCCTTTGATCTCCTACCATCCTCATATACTTACTGAAATTATGAATAATTACAATTTTTCTGGAGAGGGGAACATGTCTGTTCCATACCTGTGATATATTATTTTCTTGAGTGATTACTCAAGAAGAGTTTTTCAAAAGGCCCTAAGGTTTAATACCACACAAGTACAGGTGTGGTGTGTAATGACTGAGTTGTAATATCACAATTTAGTGCTTACTGCTCAGCTTTCTTCTTTTTTCCTAATTTTTCTTTTTTCCTGGTTTTCTTACCCTCCTTCCCCTCCCTCCCCCTCCTTTTTGCCTTTTTTCTTTCCTTTTTTTTTTTTCCCTCCAAACACTGGCATTTGGTAGCACTGTGGAAACAAAGCATGCTGTCATGTAACACTCCAGGTGAGTTATGGATCATTGCCAATGTATCAGCAAAAGAGAGCAAGTGTTGCTGCATCTCAGAACTGATCCTGCAATAGCTGTGTTCTGTCATTAGGTTTCCATCTGCATGACAAAAGCCTTTGTAGGAAAGAAATAGATTGCTTTCTTGAAAATATATTGGTTTTAGTTAAGAGGTTCTCTACTTTCTACTGCCATGACATTTACATCTATTAATGCATCTGCATCTTTCTGTTTTGTAAGAAGAAGAGACTACAATTCTCTCCCTTGAATCCGGTCCCTGGCCTGCAGCTCTTACGAGCAGGGTCATGCAGGTTCACATCACTCTTAGTACGATGAATTTGCAAAATGAGATTTCATAAGATTCTCTATGCCCATCTCACTCTTTCTAGAACCTTCTTTGTGTCTACCAGACACAGTGTTCCTGCAGAAATTCCCTGGGTGGTTCCAGTGTTAGAATTCTTGGAAAAGCGTTCCCTTTAATCTATTCAGCTGCAGCCCGAGTATAACGTCATGTCTACTCTTTGGGAGACAGGGCGTGGAAGAGTGGCTTAAATAGCCAACATCGAACTTTGTGAAGCACTCCTTTGTTCACACACGCTTAAAGAAGGGATAGAGTGCACTACTGATCCGGAGTGAGGATGTCAAGTCAGCGTTACAGAACTGTTTAACAGTTAGGGTAGTCCCAAAATAATCTCAATGCTTAAATCCAGTGAATGCTTAAATTCAGCAGATTTTTTGAATGCTTCAAAATTAATATTTTTGTTTAAGAACACTGTTCCGGGAAGGAGTGAAGAACTTTCCATGAGTGCAGGCAGCATCGGCAAATATTGAGATGTATCTGGAAACAGTCAAGAAAGCGTCTGAAGCTGCTGTGCCTATTTCTTTCTACTGTTCATTAGATTTCCACTGTGGGAGAGCATAGCAGGAGTCTAGATTAATCTCCTTACTGTCAAACTAAAAATTCTCTGAAAAATGGGGTGGAAACATTACCTGCTTGAAATACTGTTTCTATTAATTTTTTTGTGGTTTTTGTCCTGATGAACCAAGTATGGTTTCTTGTACCATTCTACTCCAAAAGGAGAGAGAGAAAGGAATGAAAATACTTTTACATCATGCTGACTTAGGGAAAAAAAAAAGTAGTTGTTTGAAGAATTATTCACATACGCATTATTGACGTTTAGCTAGTAAGAGAGGCAAAGGGCAGAGCAGACAGACCCAGATACCGAACACTTCTACACACCTTTCTGGAAGAATCAGTATGCCTAATTGTGTAAGAAAAGTTTCTCGCATGTTTGGATTTTTTTGCAGTACTGATCAGTACTGAATAGCACTGATTCAATATGTGTTTCTAGGTATAACACATACCTGATTGAAGCTGAGTATTAACCTGTCATGTTAAACTAAATCAAATGATAATTTTAGGTATCACAAAGAATAAATATAAGAGGCTTGATATTATCCAGATGAAACACACATCTCCTTTGAGTACTGCAGTACCAAGAATTGGCTGGGGACTCCAGAGGAGAAAAAGAGCTAAGATAGCAACTTTTTATTAAAAGTATTGACCTTTTCTCTCATTTCAGGAGCTGCTGAGAAAAGTTCCAAACATGGTGCAGAAGATAAAACACAGAATATTATTAGTGCTATGAAGGAAAGAATGAAGATTAGAGAGAAAAATAGACCAGAGGTGTTTGAAGTGATCCAGGAAATGTTTAATATTTCCAAAGAAGATTTTGTACAATATACAAAAGCAGCAAAACAAAGTGTTTTGGATGGAACATCCAAATGGTCGGCAAAAATAACCATCACAGGTAAATTTTCTTCGGAACTGTTTGCTCTAAGAGCTCTTTCTTTCCTAGTCCCCTGGTTTGGGAATAAGATTTATTATAATTAGAGCTGGAACTGTGTGTTCAATTGAGTACTTGGTGCATCTATACATGGTTGAATGTATAGCATGCTAACTGGAAGAGTTTTAAGTTACAGCTGTTGGCAAAACTACTTTATATTCCACTGCTCTAGGAAGGAAGATAAGTAAACGGTCTTGTGTCTTCTCTACCTCCTATCAATATCTCCTGTGCTAGTGCTGAACTTTTTGCCACCAATTGCAAGAGTTAAAGTTCACGAGTGCATTTATGGTTTTTAATTACTGTAATGCTAAGAACACTGCAGCTTGCAATTCCAGACCCCATTGGTTTGAAACTCATCATCCATTCTTGTGCTTGACTAAGGGTGTGTTCCAGTTTAGTGATGCCAGGAAAAAAAAATTAGCCAGGGAAACCCGCACACCCAGAACATACTCAAGATTGCTTCCAACTGCGTTAGGCTGGTTGCTCATAAAGATTTCCAGGTCCTCTGACTGACATTTCAGTTTTTGAATTAAAACCTCAGCACAAAAAAATTAAATAAAAGCTCAGCTGACTACACAGGTCAGCCTGACTTTATGTGATATTGGATTAGAGACAAATAGAGATTAAACTAAAAGACCAAAGAATTGAAAGGTAGTGATGTGAAACATTAAAGAACACTAACCAGATCTAAGTTAGATCTAAATTAAATCTAAATTCACGTCTAAATTAGCCTCAATTTCATTTTAATGTCATGAAAAATAATAAGCTCTCTTCTGATATTAAAAGCAAATTAAATATTTTCTCTTTCTCCAGGATTTGCATTATTCCTGTTAGGAGGGATAAGGAGATAAACTTTAGGAACTTATTTTTAGCTTTTACTAGTCAGTTTTGATAAAAATGAGTGAAACAAAAGCTATATTTTTAAAATAAACAATAGTGTATACTTAAGTAACACACGTGTTTTTCTCACTACTTAACAGCAACTTGCATAAAAGATACAGTTAAGTCAGTTCTTGGTGCCTGATGTTTCACACCTGTACATATGGTAATTTTCCTAACGTATTTTACAAGATATTTTCCATATATCCTCTGTAAGATCAAACACATGCACACTGTTAAAAAAATACAGGAGTGTCCTTTACTACTCTTTTCTTTATGAAACGAGTGACTAGGATACCCTGAGCAGATAGATGGCGTTATTTTAGCAAGTTACTCAGTAAATGTACAAATGTTTTCAGACTATCTGCCGGGTAAACATCACTTTACTAGTGTTGGTCCACTTATATTGCTGAATGGCTTGGTTCTTCTCTTTTAGAAGTAAAACTCATACTGACTTGAGTTTTGCAGTCACGACCTAATAAATGAATCATTGAATAATTTAGGAAGTGATGTTGGAAGGGATTTCTACAGTGTATTCAAACCTTCTGCTAAAAGCAGGGCTAACTTCAAAGTTAGATTAGCTTGCGCAGGGCTTTGTCCAGACTAGATTTGAAACTCTCCAAGGACGGAAATTCGACATTCTCTCTGGGAAACCTGTCCTGCTTACTGACAAGCTGTTTCAGTTATAACCACTCACATTGTAAAACTGTTTTCCTTCTATCCAGCTGGGATTTCTCTTGCTGCAGCTTGCAGCTGTTACATCTTATTATTTCACTGTGTGCCTTTGAGAAGAGTCCGGCTTCACAGAATCATAGAATACTTTGGGTTGGAACGGACCTTTAAAGATCATCTAGTCCAACCCCCCTGCAATGAGCAGGGACATCCTCAACTAGATAGGCTGGTCCAGGAGCTCATCGTCTCTGTGACATGCTCTTTAGGTAGTCGAGGACTGCAGCTTGATCTCTTCTTTGCCTTCCTCTTCTCCAGGATAAGCAAACTCAACACCCTTAGCCCTTTCTCATATGTCATGTGCCCCAATCCCCCAGCCAAACTGGCAACCTCCATTGGACTTTTTCCAGTTTGTCAGTCTCTTTTACCAGGGAGCTTCAAAGTGCAGAAACAGTATTTCATCTGGGTATGGCCTCACGGGTGTCAAATAGATGCAAGTAAACACTTCCTTCAGTTTGCTGAATATACCCCGAAGAGAAAATGCAAGATTCTCTCTTCATGAGAGAATTTCCCACACCAAGTGAAGAAACTTGGAGGCAAACCTAGGCTAATGGATCTTAAAGATGGAAAGAGAATCCAGGCTTCCTGAGGAACAAAATGTTAATAGGGAATAGTAATAGTCTTTCCCTGCTGGTGTTTGAGAGATGTGTACTTCCACATAAATAGCTTAGTGTATGTTTGGTCCCAAGTTATAGAAGACTGCTAATTCCTTCCCTGACTGGCATCTTGTTCTACTCATCATTTAAAAAAAAAAAAAAAAAAAAAATCAGAATTTCATACTGTATTTACCCTTTACCCCAAACTTCCTAAGCCAGGTTGCAAGGCATTTGCTGCAATCAAACTTGATGGGTATTATGAAGTCTTTCTTCTTTACAGTCCTTACACTACTTAGTAATGAGATGGGGAGTGACCATGAAAATCCTCTGTACTGCAGAGAGGTTTGCTGGTTATCTTGTGGCAAAGTGTTAGAAGAGTTGTCAAACTTAAAGATGAGTAACACATTTTTCTCTTACAAAAAGACAAGTGTTTCAAATTTGCTGATTTCTTCTGTAATGACAAGTGGTTGTCAGTAGTCTGCTACCTAGCAGATATTTTTGAAAAAATAAACACATTTAAACTGTCCTTTCAAGGTAAACATGATGTTTTAACAATGAGTGAGAAATTAACTGCTCTGTGAAAGAAACTCGTGCTCGTGAGAGCGTTATGAAAACGGATGTTTGGAAATGTTTCCATCGTTATGTGATTTTGCTGCCAAAACAAACGTGTCACCTACAAAAACTCTAATCTGTACACTTAAAAAACTTGGAAATGGAATTTTCTACCTTGTTTAAAAATCTTCCAAATGAGGAATTCCAGTGGGTTTTGAACCCATTTGTTAAAAATACGAAAATGCAACACTTTCCAATTAGTTTGCAAGAACATCTGGTTGACATCAGGCAAGACAGAAATTTACCAGCTGAATTTCAACAAAAACGTAATTAGTAGATGGGATTGAAAAATTACTGTAGTGATTTAGTAAGTGCAGCCAATGATGCAATTCTTGAATTTGGATCTACATATCTTTGTGAGGTATCTTTTTCGGCTATGGCAGCCATTAAAACTGAGTACAAAGATAAACTGGACTTAGACCCAGATGTTCAAATCACTGTATCACAGAGTCTTAAAACAATATTTTCAAAAATAATGAAGCATATTCAATCACATGCTCTCACTAAAAATATTAGTAGTAGTAATATTTTTTTGTGAGACAAAAGGTTTTTTGTGACATGAATAAAATTTTTAAAATATTTTTTAAATAGCGATTATTTCGTATTTATCAGCTTTTTTTAATTTCTGGTTTTGTGTATGTTTTACAATGTACATAATGCACTAGTACAGAGGTACATGTATATAATTTGTAAATAAATAAATGTATTTGGGTTGTGTGCTCAAAAAATTTTACTATAGTACTTTCAGATTCCATGACAATATTTTTTATATATCGGGGAAGGGTCATTGAGAGATGGAATTTCCATTGCTGAAATGTAAAGCTGTCATTCGGGGGGGAGGAGAAAAGCATTTGTCAACTGGGCCATAAATAATTACTCTGTGAGAGCTGGTAGGTGTGTTTTTAGCTACACGTGGCTCTGTAGTCCACACTAAAGCCCAATCGCATTTGGGGCAGTATGTAAACTGTACATGGAGCTGAAGAATAGCAGATATGTGCCAGAAGAAATCTAGGGAAAACCTGAGACTGTGAGTCAGATGGCTTAGGAAAAAGGGAGGCCGTTCTGAAGGTTGTGGGACAGCGCGTGAAACTCAAAAGAATAGTTGTTGAATTTTGGGACTGTCACCAAGCACTGGGGACATGGAGGGGTATGTCAGGGAAAATATTTAATTCCTATTCTTACTTTTAGTTCTACCTCTAAAGGATACTCAAGGCTGCCTTGTATTCAGGCCAGCATAATAGCTAACAATTCTGGAAGACATTTTCTAAGCTGCTGCTTAATTCTCCTGCATAAATAGGAGAGGGATATTTCCTTGCCTTCTAAAAATTTCCCTTTGGATTTACAGTGAATGGGGAAGACAAAGTATGTTCTAGTTCATTCCTAAGAGTCTTTTCAGGAATGAGATGTGTTTAAAAAAGAAAAAAAAAAAAACCCAACACCACCACCAAAAACCAGAAACTTAGTTTTTTTCACTGAAGGCAGCAGATATGACTTGAACCCACACCAGGAGCTGATCTGCTGAGTAAGAAGGTGCCATTTTTATGTAATCATTTTTCTGAGCACACTGAGGGAGCTTCATTATCCAAAATGATTGACATTAGAGAATGTTAACGAAATGTTACCACTGAGATGGTTTAAATAATATGTGCAAAATAATAAAACCAAGCTCTGCTGATGCTAGGAGCCATGGCAAGTGTTTTAGCTGCAGCTCTCTGGGTTTGGTAGGCTGCTATTTGACAGTTCTGCTTTCTCCTGAGATTTCCAGTTTTATGATTTATGATGGAAAACAAATTGTGTGTATTTATATTTGCCACAAAATGCATATACGTTAACTATACACCACATTTACTGTCAGAAAGGCTGACAGATACATAAACAGTTAATGATAATTGATCTGAACTGTCACCCTGTCTGTGATAGAATAGGAAGTATTCTGAAAATCCTCATGGCTCATCTCTCGCATGAGGAAAAAAAATTACAAAGTCATAACCATGCCCCTCATGTTTAGTTTCATAATCCACAGTGCAGATTTTTGAAAATTGCATGTTTTATTTTGGAAATTTTAGTTTGGATCTTTTGGAAAAATTTAGGAAATATTTATTTATTTCGGGGGGGGGAATTTTAGGGAATTATTAGACTCGAGCCAAGTTGTACAACAACATTATATTACTTGCCATGCTGATTAAACCAAAGTTTGAGAAGAGTATCTGAATTATGCGTGGCAAGAAAAGTATTTATTTTTTGCTATGTAGTGAATCTTTAAATTTATTACTCTATTAAACCATATTTGTAAATTTTATACAGTCCAGAAGTGTAGTTAGACAAGCCTTGTCTATATCCAGAGTAACAGACGCTGGGAAAATTCATACAGAAAGCTTTGTTTCAGGAGCCCTCAGTTTGAGGGCTTTGTTTCCTGTTGCTGTTGTCACTGTCTCATTTATTTCTTGGTAACGAAGGCTACGAGGGCTAAAGCACATTTCTCTCCTATTGTTGCAGTCCTTTGTGCTCAGGGCTTACAGGCTAAGGACAAAACTGGCTCAAGTGACCCATATGTTACTGTGCAAGTTGGCAAAACCAAGCGGAGAACAAAGACTATTTTTGGAAACTTGAATCCAGTATGGGATGAAAAATTCTATTTGTAAGTACAGAAGATACTATGGTTTCTTGCTTTTTTAATTTACATTTAGCTAATGTAATGCTACCAAGTGAAATAATTACTTAATTTAAAACATTTGTTGTCTATACTATGTATGTTCATAGCATTAATAAATTAGCAAGTTCTGAAGGGAGAGAGCATAGATGTTTATTGTGACTTTATCATATAGTAGTCATACAGCTCATAATTATGTCTTTTCGGGGATCTATTGGTGGTGTCTATTTATTCTAATTTTTTAGGGAACTTAAGTAACAGTTTTCAGACTTTGACCTTACATACAAAATGTTGGCATTATAAATGCCTTCCTATGTCTCAGATACTGATCGTGCAAGTTAAATGAGTTTTTTTATTCAACGTTACGATTCTCCCAGGTGAAACTGGGGAACGTGGTAGTAACTGGTGTGCTTCAGGCTCTGGGCCGGGCCGTTTGTAATGCCTATCCTTTCCAAGACTGAGTGCTGTCCTCCCGTCTCCTTTCTTTGGCCACAGCCTCTGAACTGAATACGGTTCAGTTCGCTGTCAGCATATCATGGGAGTTCAACCCTGACTGCAAAGTAGATGTTTCAGTCTGTAATACGTTGACTACGGTTTGAATATGATTTCATGCCAGCTCCAGTTCTGGCAATGTTCCCAGAACTTCTTTCAGAAAGACACGTTACAGTACAGGAAATTCCAATTCACAGGTACGATACTGTTCCTTTCCTGAAAACACGGCCTTAGGATACAACACATTCCTGACTGAGAATGTGACCAATCTGATAATAGTATCAATTTGCTCAGTGTTATTCCTCCACATGTGGCAAAACTATTTCAGCATTTACTCTTTTCTCAGCTTGATTACTGTGTGCCGCAGTATATGATGTGCACTCAACTACCATTGTTAAAGTCAATTAAGGATTCTGAAAGGCTAATATAAACCTTAGATTTTTATTTTTTTTTTAAGTGAGAGAGAACTGTTTGTTTAGGCAGATTTTTTAATTGTTCAGAAAAGTTCCAGTCTACCCTGAAAGCACCTACCACAGTATTATCATATGAAGTTAGTAGGTATTTTATGGAAGCTGTGTGAAAGCACTAATATAGTAAATTATGAAAAGAAGAAATTATAATAATAAAAAAGGATATACATTTTCAGTGTTTGTTAAATACAACAGTTTTATTTGCATTTTTACTGAGAATATATGCAAACTGTTGATACATTAATAATACATTGATACATTATAATAGTCTAACCTTACTACATTATAAAAGCCTAATATGTTTATGCCTAATAGTGCTATTCAAAACTGGATGTTAATTTGATACAACTTGATGAAACTCTGTTTCAGTGATGATAAAAATGATGTGTCATTTTTATAAGCAACCCTGAATTTACAAAGCAGCAGCAGAACAGCTCAGGATCCTGCAGACTGCCCAGTCAAGATTCAGAATCTCTGGTTAGTCACTGTGTGCAACAGACAATTTCAAAATAGCCACTCACCACAATGTAAAATAATTGCCTTCAGGCTATAAAATTGTTTAGTTTCTTCTTACGTTCCTTTCCTCCTATAAGGAAGACATCAGTTGTCATTATTCCTATCTACATAAACCATGGAAACAATTTCTGTTAGGGTTCAGGCATTTGAAATAGAGCTCAACACGAGAGGTTACCTTCTTATCATGTAGCACAACAGCTATTTTCTCTTCCCTGATTTTTGACTAAAATCTGCTGCCTTATTGTTGAGGAGGTTATCGTTTCACTAGTGAGTTTGAAAGAGGTATGACCCAAGATTCCGCTTCCGTTTGCCTGGAAAAGGTACTAGGTACTCCAACTATGTGAAACAATGTATGCCCATTCCTTTCACAGATTCAAAGGCCGGTACTAGAAATGAGTAGTTAATTCAGAGAAAACACACACTCAGAAACTTTTTACAGGCTTCCCCTATACAGATCATGTTTTCTTTTCGAGTTATTTGTGTTACTCCAGTAACAGTTGAAGTGTCATACCTCATTGAACAACTGTGAGTAACCAAAGGTAGGAGATTAATTACTTTCTTGCATTTAATTGTATGAGTTGCATAGTGGCAAAAGTTGGATGAGCAATTCAGCAAATCTGGAATGAAGTTTTAAATGTATTTTCTCAAAGATGTGAGCAGGGCTACCATAAAATCCCTGGAAACTTGGAAGTATTATATATTTTTTTCACCCAGCACTAAGTGTTACTATCATCTGGTGCTCTAGCAATAACATTAATAAAGAAACCCTACTATAGCATAAATCTCCTGAGTAACTGCTTTGAATATGTTTTCAATCATTTTTTTAGCACTTGTACTTTCTAAAACAAAGTTATCTCCCTGACTTATTTAATGCATTGGATTTCAATTGAAAGTGTATGAGAATTTCTAAAGTGTATTAAATGAACTATAAATGTTTAACCACAAGATTAAATCTAAAGTAGATCAATATAACTATTTATTGACTCAGGAGGTTTCACTTAAATTAGGCTCTACTAGTGATATTTGATAGTCCTATTTAAAATCAAATACTAATCATCATTATAACTCCTAAATTATAAATTGCAGAAATAAAATATATCTCAAAATCTTACAATCATACATTTGCTCATAATACCGAAACATTCATTTAAATTTCCCCATCTGTTCCGAAACAAGGACTTGGAAAAAACGTTGGCTCCCCACTGTGCATCTGCTCTGTCATAGCAGACAGAGTAAGGGCGGTGTTCTAGTTTGCAGAATCACACATAACCCTGTGATCATGTGGTAAGCAGGGAGTGAATGTTCCTAACAAAACATAATGTAACCCCCTGCTAAATGACCATGGGATACTGGCATAGATTTTAACATGGGGACTCATAAACCATAACTCAAGTAGAGCTTTCGTACAGCTGCATGCATCTCAGTAAAAAAACAAGACTACACCTTTCCTTGAAATGTATATTTTTTTGTACACAAGATAGAGAAGCAAATAGGCCAGCAGATGCTCCTTTAATGAATGTAATATAGGTGGTAAGGGCTTTGATTGTTTCTATTGGCATTATTAGAAAGGAGATAGCAGAGCAGTTTTTATTTTTTCAATAAAACATCAGTAATAGGAGAGTTTTTTCAATGCCAGGGCAAAAGAAGAGTCTTGCAGCTCTCTGCCACCTTCCCTCTTCTGGTTGTGTGTGGCATCTGATATGGGAAAAGGGACTGCATTTTTATTTTTTAGTTACGAGGAGAAGATTTTGGCTGTGTAGTTTTCAGCTTTGTACAACCTTTTAGATCTATACACTATAATAAAACTCTTCTCCACTCTTGTTCTTTTCTTGACTATTTTCGACAGTTGATTGCTGAAATATGGAAATCTGCTTTTTTCTGGCAGTATTGTCCAGCAAGCACACATCTCCAAATTGCCTTGCAGACTTTGCAGGTATCATGTTTCCTCTGACCACTCATTAATGCCTCAGAAACAGTTGTATAATACAGAAGTCTTTCATGTAACGGGATGATTATTTTACATAACTTATTCTTTCTATTTTGGCTGTCACTAGGCCACCATATGGCTCTGATAAATAGCTTCATTGGATATCTGTTACTCCTTTCAGTGCATGAAAACATTTGATCTAATTGATTTAAATTAGACCAATGGGAAGGGTTTTATTGAAGACTATGATTACCACCTGACCAATGTAATGGTCATCACTAAACTGTTAGAATTTGTCCGATTTCTGATGATTCTTGATGATTGCCTGGTGATATACTGAAAATATCAACGCAGACATAAAATCCAACAGAGAGAAGATTTACAATTGCTCGCAGAAAAAAAAAAACCAAAAACCTGTTTGTTCAAACAAACTAGAATGTTGCTGAGAATTCTTACTCCTATATATTTTAGCAGATAATACTGGGGAAAAGTATCCTCTAGCACCAAACAGCATTGATGTAGATTAGAGACCATGATAGTTAAAAGTCTCTGTGTTGGTCAGAGAAGCTGTTCAACTGCTTCATATTTCGGGTATTTCAGTTTAGAGTTTCTGATGAAGTGAGAATTTCTGGCAGCTACTTCAGGCATCCAGCTGTGGATGTTCTTTCCTTAGAATTACCTTAAAGAGCAGAACTCACACAGTTTATTTATACTGCAAAGAAGTGATTTGTGGATTCATTTAAAGCAATACTTACTATAAGCAGCCATGTATAGGAAATAAATACAAGAGGGCCTTAGCAAAGTCCTTTCCTACTGTCATCTTATACATTCTTGATCAACTGAACTGACTTGTAAAAAGTATAATCTTCACTGTACCTGAAGACAACAGGATTGGTTAACTGTTTAAATGGTGTTCCAGTTTCCAGTGATACCTACACACAGTCTTGTGAGAATTGTTGAAAGAGCTTATGGATTGTTTCATAAGCAAGAGTATATAACAGAGAATTATATTACACAAAACCAATTGGGTAATAGAAACCTGCAAATTAGTTTACTGGATGTATCCATTCTAAAAATTCTTCAATAAGCAGCCAAGGCTCTGAGAAGACATCCTACTAATTAAAATAACTGTATCTCTCAGCCTCAGCCCAAAACAAGAGAGCAGAACACCTCTAAGAACCCATTCAAATGATAAATTGTTTGTTCAGCAATAATGTTTTTCAGTTTCACGGCACAGCATATTTGGTCTGAGTCTTTTTTTTCAAACTGCTGTCAATCCAGGTTAATTTTATACAACTCTCTTTTTGTTATGACAGAGTAGACTAATGCAAGAAAAGGCATAATTAGTCTCATTCTACTTTATCAGAAAGCATGGCCCGTGACCACACTGTTAAAGAATTGGGACTGTCCAGACTAGAGGAGACGAGTAGCGGAGGTAAGGATGTCTTCAAACACATCCTTTCTCCTGCAAAGAGGAAAGGAATATTTTCCATGCTTACCGTTATAGTAGAACAAGAAGTAATAGGCACAAATTCCATTTAGAGAGGCTTAAATCAGTCTTCTCATAGCAATGCCATGGATGT